AATGATTAAAAAATGTCTATTTATGTCTTTTAACAAAGACCTTATTTGTATTTTACCAAATAATATTGAAGTTCAATAAACTTATTTCCTTTACAGGTTGTTTTTATTCAAATAATTCCTTTTAGAGTTATAAAGTTGTGTGCCGTGAACGGCTAACAACCAGTTAGTTAAAGCTTAGTAAAATTTGACAAAGCAGGTAAACTAAACTAAAGTATACACGAGAAACAGGAAAACAAAAAGCGCGAATGAAATCAGACGTTTGCGTACGAAACAGGACCGAAATGGACAAAGGAAATAAAATAAATAAATAAAATAAAATAAATAAATAAATAAATAAAAGCAGATATTTGCGGATAAATGCAGATGTTTGGGGATAAAAGCAGATGTTTGCGGATAAAAGCAGATTTTGCGTATAAAATCAGATGTTTTCGAATAAAAGCAGATGTTTGCCGATAAAAGCAGATGTTTGCGGATAAAATCAGATGTTTGCAGATAAAAGCATGTTTGCGGGTGAAACCGTATGAAAGCAGATGTTCGCGGATAAAATGAGATTTTTGCGGATAAAAGCAAATGTTTGCGGATGAAAGCAGATGTTTGCGGATAAAAGCTAATGTTCGCGGATAAAATGAGATGTTTGCGGATAAAAGCAGATGTTCGCGGATGATTGCAGATGTTCGCGGATAAAATGAGATGTTCGCGGATGAAAGCAGATATTCGCGGGTGATTGCAGATGTTCGCGAATGAAAGCAGATGTTCGCGGATAAAATGAGATGTTGGCGGATAAAAGCAGATGTTTGCGGATAAAAGCAGATATTTGCGGGGGTGCACTAACCGGATGAAATCAGGCGTTCGAAGATAAAAGCATGTTTGCGGGTGAAACCGTATGAAAGCAGATGTTTACGGATAAAACCAGACGTTTGCGGATATAAGCAGATGTTCGCGGGTGCACTAACCGGATGAAATCAGGCGTTCGCGGGTGATTGCAGATGTTCGCGGATAAAAGCAGTTGTTCGCGGGTGACTGCAGATGTTCGCGGATGAAATCAGATTTTCGCGGATAAAAGCAGATGTTGGTGGATAAAATCAGATGTTCGCGGATGAAAGCAGATGTTCGCGGATAAAAGCAGATGTTTGCGGGTGAATGCGGAGGTGCACTAACTGGATGATATCAGGTGTTCGCAGATAAAAGCATGTTTGCTAGTGAAACCGTATGAAAGTAGACGTTCGCGGGTAAAAGCAGATGTTCGCGGGTGATTGCAGATGTTCGCGGATAAAAGCAGTTGTTCGCGGGTGATTGCAGTGATGGGTGATGTTCGCGGATGAAAGCAGATGGTCGCGGATAAAAGCAGATGTTGGCGGATAAAAGCATATGTTGGCGGGTGAAATTGGACTAGGCAGACGTATGCGGACAAATTCAGATATAAACGAAACACAGTGAAGACGGTTAAAAACAGATGATTGCGGGGGTGCACTAATCGGACATAAAACTAACCGGGTGTTCGCGGATATAGCGATGCGGACAAAAGCAGATGTTATCAGATGATATTTTTACCCGCTTTTATCTGCTTTTATCCGGCTTCTACGAAGAATTTATACCCGCAATCATCTGCTCTTATCCGGTTTTGACGAAGAATTTATATCCGCAATCATCCGTCATTTTCAGCAGGGTAAACACATAAATCTTATGTAAGTAATCAAACCATTTTCTAATCTTTGCCTTAAATAAACAAACTTCGAGACCTTTTTGAGTATAAAAAAAATAAATGGTAGAAGCAGTAAGAATAAACATAAATGCAATTTCTTAATTCTAATAAAGAAAAGAAAACGTAAACACAATTACTATTACAACAAGAAAAAAAACGAATAGTGCAGCAGATTCCGAATTCAAGTAGACCGGACACAGACCCCGATGAAATGCAAGACCAGCAAGGATGTCCTAGTAACGTACTAATAACCAATGTATCATTCATGAACCCCAATTGAATGAGGTCGTTACTAATACCCTGGTTGAGGAGTAGTCCGTATTGTACTTCGTTTTGGGTCAGTTCAAGGCCCCCAAAAACCAACTGTTGTCCCTCCTTGTCCTACACTTCACTAGCCTAAATCGGCGTATGGTCGGCCCGGCGACAAAATTCCGGGAATGGCCTTAACCATCGACACTGTCATCCACGACCTTCTAGGGAAGATTACCTGCCGGGGTGAAAATCCGGATCCACCAAACACAGGTAACGCTGTGCAGTGGCGGGATACATATAGAACCGAAAGGGGGTAAAAATAACCCTGGAAGATCAGTGTAAGGCGTAGCCGATGGGGCCTGCCATACGTTCTTATACTCGTATTCATACTCGATGTTATTATTCACATAATTATAATAATAGGAAATAAACCAATGCTTAAGAAATATATTTAAATAAGCAATTAATGACACCTACTATAGCGCGGTTTTAGTTTTAAATAAAAAAACGTCTTAGCTTTAATTTAAAAAAATATATTAAAAAATCTCTATTAGTTTTTTACAGCCATTTAAACTTAAATAAAAAAATGGGAAACTTGGTTCACTTCAATGTTTAAAAATTTTTTATTGGTGAACATTTTTAAATTTTATAAATAAAACTTGAAATTTTAATGTTTTTTCTATAAGAACATCAATTTAGATTAATTTAGAATCTTGCTTAATTGTAAACTTGGTTCAGTTTAATGTTTAAATTTTTTTTATTGGTGAACATTTTTAAATTTTAAAAATAAAACAAGAAATTTTAATGTTTTTTCTATAAGAACATCAATTTAGATTTTCCCGATTGTAAAAAGACCTAAATTGTGTTATTGGCCGTTCTCGGGCGATTCTAGTCCACTGTGCGTCAGTGGAGACAAGGGAGCCTCAAACTAGGTGCAAAACTATGTATATGCTTTTACAGTAAGATAATAATTATTGAACAATATTTCATAAACTATACAACTATACAACAAATTTTTGTATGTTGTCAACAATTTAAGAAACTGGGTAAAATAAGACCTTCCTTCCCTGTTCAATAAGTGCTCTTTTAAGTAAGTGCTCTTTTAGTTCCACCCTTACTTCTTAAGAAGTCCCATAAGCCAACTGAATGGCTTGTGCGGGTTAGGGGTAGGAACGGACCGCGGGCTTAAAGTCCCCTCCGAAGGACTAATACACAATAGGACAAACACAAATAAACAGCCATACCCCTGGTGGGATTCAAACCCACGACCTCCGGCTTGTAGTCAGCATGCGCTAGACCACTAGACCACCGTCGGCGATCAATGATTTGAATCAATAATTTACTGAGGGCAAAACACTATTGATTAAAGACCATTCATGAAAAGATCCGCATTTTGAAAAGGTATGAATGGATAAACCCACGTTTTACTGAAAGTTGTTTCTATAGTTCTAATTTTACTGTACTGTATTCGTTTTAAAGATTCTCTACAGTGTAACGTGATGTGACTTTGGACTATTTAGGAAAAGTTAAACTGCAACTATTGGTAAATAGTTTAGTGTTTCTTGATAATTGTTTTCATTGATGAATAGTTCAAAATTGGTGATTTTTCTTGGCTGCAGTTCACGATCGACTTAACCTATGATTATTAATCCGTTTCCCCTTTAATTTAATTTTAAACAGATTTTTCGAATAATTTAATAATAATTTAACTGCCCTTTTAAAAATACCATGCGGCGTTCCCCACGACAGGGCTTCATCAAAAAGGGATTTGCACAATGGGCTGTATGTGTGCCTACGTGCTTCCTGCAGAGGCTCCCATTCAAATCAATTAATCAATCAATAAACCTTCATCTTTGTCCAATTCTAGCACAATTCTTGTTTGCTGGGTATATATTTTGTTAAAAATACCTTATAAGGTATTGTTTTAGCATTAATTTAAATAATAACTTGAGTTGGATATTTATTTAAAAGTTACCTTATAATTATAAAGTAACTTTTAAATCAATATCCAACATCTGTTTGTAGGTCGTGTTTATTATTCGTTTGAAAATCGCGGTAAAGTTCATACTAGCCTTGAGGCAAGGATTTTAAATTTAACATAAATCTAAGAACCTAAATATGCTCTGAATGGTTATAACAATTAAAAAGCTTTTAACTTTCAACGAAATAGTTTATGTTCGTATTTTGAGGAAAAAACGTTTTTGCCCTTTTAAGACAAGTTTGGCAGTATAAAGGGGAGCAAGGATAGCTAGATTTCTCTCTCATACTTATACAATCGCATATAACTTCCTCCCTCTTATTTATCGTTTTTGCAATATCTTATTGTAATATTCGCTTGTAAAGTGTTCTTGTAATATTTCGTTAAACGCACCATTATTCGTAAAGCCAATGTCTCGCGGCGAGTTGTCGCGGCGACCAGTAGGGTATTCACACGATGCAAACAAATTTCTACTAGGATTGCCAACTGCCAAATACCTTTAGGTTTAGAAACAAAATTAATTTTTATTTAAATTGGTTTTTTTTCGTTACAAATATTTTGTGGTGTAAGAGCCTGTTTGGTTCATTTTAACAGGCATGTAAATAAAAAAACTGCACAGACTATAAAGCTTTAATTAAACGCAAATCACAAGATAAAACTCACCTGTCATTTCACAGCTGATAAATATTGAGTACCAACCAAAATATTTGGTGAAAATTCGTAAATCCCTATAAAAGTTACTAAGTCGCCGCAACATTATTGCATAAAAATAGAACATGTTTTATATTAGGACAAGTTAGATTACCTGATTAGTTGCATCGTGTGAACACCAAAAAATTGAAGCGATCTGCCGCAAAAAGTTGTACTGTCAGACATAATTTAAAATTTGTAATTCTTGACACGCACATTGAGAGAAATATTTTGGTTCTCTCTCTTCGCAACAGATTCGAGACTACCCAAATCAGCTTATTTTACCTCCCTCCCTACAGACTTCTTCGTTTCTATTCAATATTTCCTGTAAACTGGCGTTAAAATTGTTCTTTTTTAAATAGCATTTTTATCTTTTAGGAGTTCCCATACAGTTTGCGGCCATGAGGCGATGCATTTGGCGAAATGTTTAAACGAAGAGCTGGCAAATCAGGCGGCGCAAAGCGGCAGAAGTTACCTAAACCACAGGGCGGTTAGTCCGGAACCGGAACCTAGGGCGCGGAGCTACGATCATAAGAGCCCGCAGAAAGGGGGAAAAGGTATTTGAAAATATTTGTATGAATGGACGTGTTTTTTATTTGGATTATTGAAACTACTACTTATCACTTTTAGGTTTACTTTATTATTTTTGTATAATCACTGTTCATATAAAGTAGCTTTTCCAAATAAATACAGTAGTTACATACACATAGTTTTATCGCATTAAACAAAAAATCAAATTAATATGTGTTTTTTAACATTAAAACTAGAAAGTGTTTATAAACTATAGTTAAATTTAAGTCATATTGACCATTTTTGGTGACAACATTTTCGCAATTGCATGATTTTTAAATTTTAATGTACTAATTTATTTGGGCAGCAGAAAAATTGCATCAAAGTCTGGACGCTGTTAACAGCCAAGGTATGCATTTGTATTAAACCATTGAAAAAGTGTGTTACCTTTACATAACTTTCTCGTATTAAGTAAGCCATATATCAAGATTTTTGATTTTCTAAAATTGCCACCAATTTGTTTTGGATTTTGATTTCAAGGTGCTGCGAAACGACCTTCTTAAGTTTTTTATTTTCTATGTTAAAGGTATAGTTTTTTAGAAATGATTCTTGTGTTGTGATTTACACAAATTTAATCAAAAATGTGTTACAAATAAAAAAATTCTCAAGTTTGGATATTTTCTGCTCGTTGTCTTTAAATAAAATTATTATTTTTTTGTAACAGTAGGGTCATTCCACGTTACTCGGGGATTTTTGTCCCGCCCGTCACAATTAAAAATTGTGAGTAAAAACTACACGTTATAAAATTTATTTTAAAATATTGCTTATTATGCTTTTAATAAGTTATAAGCAAAATAAAAATAATATTATAAAATATTAATTTAATACCTTGTGGTTTTTACTCACAATTTTTAATTGTGACGGGCGGGACAAAAATTACCGAGTAACGTGGAAAATTTAAATATTATTTACTGGATAAGCAACTTTTCAATTATTAATTATTATCAATTTTTTTAAAGAATATTTCAAATTTGACTAAATAAAGAAAAAGCCATAAAATTTGCTATATAAATTTTACGCGTTTTGTCGTCATTCAGTCAAAAAATGATCCGAATAGTCTTAACCCTAAAGTTCCAAATACATAAATAAAATCGAAAAACCTTGATATTTGTGTTGTCTATTTAAAAAAATAAAATATTATATAAGGGCCTTTCCGTCTCAGCTCGACCAGGCAAAAGGGGGTAGGTCGTTATTATTTTTTTACAGTTTCTCTACCGAAATCGATGACTCATCGACGATGAGACCCGTATTTTTTCTTTTTGCTTTAATTTGTTTTGTTCATCCGTAGGAAATTTTTGAAAAATGGGCGATAACATGGTCAAAAATGTTTCGATCATTACAATTTTTTTTAAAATTGAAGGTAAATGTTTAATACATTTTTAAAATTGAAGGTAAATGTTTAATACATACCTACCAAAAAAATTAAGTAAATTCACAAAAAAATGTTTAATTGTTTTTTCTAAAAAAGGCAATTCATATTTTTTCGTTTGAAGTTAATAATAGAAACAACTTTTCACGAAAACTCCCGAGTTGGCTAAATTCGTCGTTTCGAAATTACTATTTTTTTTAATGAAAATGCCATTTTCTAGTAATTTGTGAAATTTGGTATTTTAACTGGGGTGACCTTTATAAAGTGTAATTTAGAACTTTTTGACATATTTTACATATTTTTTTCACTTCTGGTTTCACCGGAAGTGCTCTTAAGTAAGTAAATTAAATTATTAAGGATTTAAGAGTAAAATTCTTAATATGTTTGCATGTGATACTTTTAAAAGGTGTAAAAGTATACCCAGGTTAGTTTTGATTAAAATAATAAAAATAAAGTATTATTTAAGTACCTAAAAGTAATTAATCGAATGCACAAGAAACTTATAAAAAACGCGGTTTCGAAGAAATGTAGAACACAAACAATTCCGAAAAATGTTGGTCTATTAATACGTATGAGTGAGGCAGTCGCGAAACTCTTATTGGCTGAGGCTCTATCAGGAAGGGAAATAAGTATCAAGCCTAAGAGGTCCAGAAACTAATGCGCACTTAGAAAAAAACAAAGTTTTATTTAATTTCATATTTGATTTTTGCAAGATATTCCCTACAAATTGTAGGCTACAATGGCCACACTATGGGGCGGTTGGATATAACTTTTTATAATGGTTTTAAAATATTTGAATTATTTTATTTAGTAGATTTAAAACAAAAAAATGTTGAGTATTTTCTTACACCCCTTTGATTCTAACCACCTCAATTATTATTTTATTTTATAAAAAGTAGCGTATGTTTTCATAGTACATTAAAATGTTAATATCCACTTACCAGCAAAACAAACTAACGAACTGTCAAATCGGATACTTCTTTTAAACACAAAGGTTTCAAGGCCTTCTTCTATTTATTTACTTCTGTATTCACTTTAAAACCTAATAAACATACAAATTTAATTAAAAGTTTGAAAGCGATATTAATAAAAAATTAATTAATATTTGGTATGAAATTTTAAAAAAGTGTATTTTTTAAGCGGCCATGATATATATACAACCTTATATGCATGTATAGAGATAGTTGAAGTACGTCTTTTTCATTAGCGGCAGATAAAAAACTGAAAAAAGCCTAGGGATAGAAGTAAATCCATAGGTGACTCAATGGACGTCAAATAATAAAATTAATTTAGCATTTCATACAAAGCAATCACGATGTATTAATTATATTAATTATAATCGCACGGAATATTTAGTGATTATTTATTAAATTTTAATTGAACGAAATAAAGAACAACTAGTTTATTAGTATAATATTATGATGATAGACGAGTCGCCAATGTCGGAACTCCAAACAAATGTCAGTACGTCAAAATTAATTCAAGCGCAGCATTTTGACAGAGCAGTGTTTATTTTTAGTTTAGGATATTTATCGGCATTGTAAGTAAGGGTTATAAGTTTTTTTAGTTATTATCAATAATTTGCTTTTAGCTTTTAGCCAAAATTTTATACCACATGAGTTATAAGTAAATAAAATAATTCTATTGCTTATCCTATTTATATTACGCCCTTGAAAAAAAAATTGTAGGTACATGTTATTTGGAGTAGAAGCTCTTTTTGTGCTTCGTACAGTTGCCTGCCTCAGCTACGCTTCGGCCGTCAATCTCTGTACTCACCACAAAAAGAGCCACTTCTACTCCTTATGACATAATCTACTATTCTTTTATGACCAACCACCCTCTTTTATTAAAAAAAAATATTTTTGGCATAAAGTATTGTTTTTAAATTTTTGAAAGCATTGCAAAAAAAGAATAAAATTGTGTTTTTTCCAAACTACTTGGCCCAACATGAAGCAGAAAATAAAATTAAATCAAAACATGATTTGACGTGTCGACAAATTACATATGTATGTATTAAGAATTTTATTTTGAATCAAAATATGTAAAAATGCATAGGGTGTTTCATTAAAAAATAAAAAGTTAAGACCATTTCCGGTGAAATCGGAAGTGACAAAAATATGTTAAATATGTCAAAAAGTTCTAAATTACACTTTATAAAGGTCACCCCAGTTTCATGACCCTAGATAAAATACCAAATTTTTGCGATGAACCACGAATTTACTAGAAAATAGCATTTTCGATAAAAAAATAATAATTCTGAAACGACGAATTTAGCCAGTTGTTCCTATTATTAACTTCAAACGAAAAAATTTTGAACTAAAAAAAAATGTGGCAATGTCAAAATTGTACCTCAATTTTTTTTGGCCTTTTTTTAGAAAAAAACTATTAAATTTTTTTTTGTAAATTTACTTAATTTTTTTGTGTAGTAAACATTTACCTACAATTAAAAAAAAAATTGTAACGATCTAAACATTTTTGGCCAAGTTATCGCATTTTATCAAGAAAAAATGTCTAATGTAAAAAAATCGATGTTTCTGTCCATTTTTCAAAAATTTCCTACGGTTGAACAACAAAATTTAAGCAAAAAGAAAAAATACGGGTCTCATCGATTTCGGTAGAGAAACTGTAAAAAAAATTTCGTTGAAAAATAACAATCGATTTGAGATGGAAAGTCCCATAATTAAATTAATGATTTAAATTTAGTTAAAATTAAACGTAGAGGTAACTATATTTCTTATATCCCTTTTCCTATTCCTTTTCAAAATTTAACGAATATGATGCGTATGTTTTTTTTTAGTTGTTATTTTATAAATTTTACAGGTTTTTATTTTTTTAAATCACAATTCAACTTGATTTTGATGTGTTGTATTTTTCACATATTTGCTTTTAAATCTCAGAATTAACTAAAAAAATAAACTATGTAATATATTTTAATACAGTTATTAATTTTTTGATGTTGCTAAGAGCAGTGGCGTAACATAAGGTGGAAAAAGTGGCAAAATGTCAGGGCCTCCAGCTTGAAGGGCCCCCGATGCTTCGTTCGATTTTGTATTTAATTTTTTAATAAATTGGTTGTAAGCCTAAAGAATGTCCATACTTCAAATCTTAATTCGGGTTTTCATTAATTTGTAATAAAACCGCCCCACTTTAGGACAATCCTTCGATGATAATACGATCTTACACGTATTTATATTTGAGATGATGATTCGTCTATGCTAGGAACAGATTGTCAACGAACACGGCCTTATGTACTATGCTGCCCTGCTAAGCTAAATCCCCCGTATTTACAATATTAAGTAATAAAGGACAAAAGATAATTTAGAATCTAGTTTGGGCTACCTTGACTGCATATATATTATTATTATATTATTATATATTATTATTATATTATTATATATTTGTATATATAATATTATATATATATATATATATATAATATATATATATATATATATATATATTTTATATATATATACAGGGTATTTCATGGTCCATTAGAAGTTTCTGGGGAACGGAAAAAGATAAATTTTAAAAGCGTTTATAATAAATTGCCGGTTTCACTGGAAGTGACATCAACTTTATTATTTCAAATAACACCCCATATATTTTAACATTTTT